TTCAACCCCGGGGTTGAACTCAGCCCTGGATTGAAAATTTTGTCATGTAATCGTTTCAACCCAGGGCTGAAATTATCATGAGTTATTCGAGCATACGTGGTAGTGACTATTTATTACAAGAAAACAAAATAAAGGCTTTTTTTTACTTCCGGGAATCGTTGCTGAGAACGTATGGTATAGCGTTTCAACCCCGGGGTTGAAATCGTCCGCATGCAATCGCAAAAAATTTCAACCCGGTTAACAGGGCTGAGTTCAACCCCGGGGTTGAAAGTTCTCCATGTAATCGGCCCCTAAAGGCTAGTTTCCACTCAGGAAAATTATACGTGGATTGGAACGGACAAGAAAATTTTTCTTTGTGTTAAAGTCATTAGTTCCAACCCATGCAGAGCTCACAAGACAAAGAAACATTTTCTTGTCCGTTCCAATCCACGGATAATTTTCCTGCGTGGGAACTACCCTATAGAGCGCTTGCAATAATTCCCCAGGGACCAACTCAACAAAAGCCATGGCGGCCATGTTGGAGTTCCAGACAAGAGAGTCGATCTAATTAAAATTCTTTTGAATTGGAACACGGCCCGAACACCAACATGGCGGCTGTGACGCCATGTGCAAACGCTCTGTAAAAAGGAGCTGAGACCAAAGCCCTTTCAAACCAATGTCCTGAAAACGTTTCAACTATGTTTAAAATCTCAAATTCTGATAAATATAATTTAAGAAGTAATAACAAGATGCTGATGTTGTCGAAGCCTAAAACAAATTCAATGAAAAGGACATTCGGATATGCTGCTGCTAAAGACTGGAACTACAGGGTGTATCAAAAAAAGCGCAATCCTCGACTGAAATGTAAATTGTTGAACAAATAATAGACGAAAACGTTAAAGTTTACATTCATTTTAAAGCGTAGCCATTCAGCTATCTAACAGTGGGTTGTTTCTTAAATTTGACTCATTGGTTCGCGGGTAATAATACTTTACGTTATTGCGATTGGAGATTAAAAAAATTGAGATGGAATAACAAATCGTTCTCATGAAAATAACTGATTTTTTCATTAAAACAAAGAAATGTTGCATTTTATTAAATGGATTGTAACAATAAGTATAATTACGGCTTTTCTTCCACTATTTTTAACTCAGTTTGAAACTTCAAATGCGATATAATTTTGACTAATTGGACCATCCAAGCTGACTGACATCAACTTGCTATAATTTTTGTTTACATTACATTACATCGCAATTCGATGACACTCTGGCTCAAACACCAGAATGTTTTGAAGATTTTTAGCATTCGTTTAGGATTTTCAAACAACCTGGTCTCTTTTAAAATACTTTTAATTTTTTCTTACGTGGTTTTCCAGATGTAGTGACGAAAACATTAAAGTTTAAAGAAGAAAATTCTAACATTTAAACCGACTAAACAATAACATAGTAAACTTGCATAATTAAACAGCAACTAAAAATGATAGGT